TCATTCTAGGGGAAGGGGTTGTGTGGCCAGCATGCCACAGAGCACTAGGTATTGCTTTGAGCTGCTAAATTTGGGGTAATTAGTTACTCAGGGATAGAAAATGGATACTCCTGTGTTTGTTTTGACAGCACTAGCAAATCTGGCAAGGGAAACAATGTCTAACAAAATGGTGCACCCATTTAGACAGGCTAGACTCCAAACAGTGGAGGCACTGCCCGGACTGTCAGATCGTGCCATCCTTATAGGTCTCTGGAGATCTTCCTAGTTCCAGATCTCTTCTCGGACCTATAGTGAGGCCAGGAATTTAAAGGAGGGTTGGGAAGGGTATATGGGAGGATTTGGAGAACGGAAAGGGAAAGGAGAAATGTAATTAAAATATGATCTCAAAAGTGAGAATAAAAATAAACAACCCAAACACATCATAGTTTTCTATTTGTTTTGACAGCACTAGCAAATCTGGCAAGGGAAACAATGTCTAACAAAATGGTGCACCCATTTAGACAGGCTAGACTCCAAACAGCTTTACTAAGTGTTTCTTTGCTAATCTGAAGTGATCTTAAGCAGATGAGTAATGGAGCCTGTGCAGAAAGGGAAGGTAATGGTGTGTTTTTTGCCTTCCTGCATTTCATGCTCGTATCTATAAAAAGTTGGTCTGAAATGAAGTGTTTATTCACGTAGGATTAAATAGCAGAAGCATTAACTTAGGGCTTTGCCGCTTGTCTTAATCAAAACTATACAGGGCCTGCAGTCCCCAAAGCTTCTCTAAAACATATAACAATTATTTCATTAGTGTGTGTGTGTGTGTGTGTGTGTGTGTGTGTGTGTGTGCGCGCGTGTGTGTGAATGTGAGTGCGAGTGCACAAGGACAGCAGAGATTCTTTGTGGAGCTGGAGTAACAGGAGGTTGTGATCTGCCAGACATGTGTGCTGGGCATTATATTTGGGTCCTCTGCATGTACAGCAAGCAATTTCAACCACTCAGCCAACTCCGGCCTCCCCCAAATATAACACTTTCAATGAAAGTTTTTACTCCAGTTTGTTGGTACCCAGATGTTCACAGCTTCTCTGTGGGATTTGAAGATGCAATTCATATGGTGTCCTGTCCTGCAAGATGTCAACCTGGGGCAAGAGAGTCAGGGATAGGGAATGGGGACAAGAGATGCAGAAAGAACGACTGCAAGACAGGATTCTGATCAAGTGGCAAATTTTACTTTTCTCAGGCTAGTTTATATAGTCCATAGAGCAGGATATGGGGAGTGGCAGAATGGGGTATTTGTGCACCAGGTGTTAGTATAGGCAGGATATTAGGAAGCCACAAAGAGGATGTTTGGCAGGGTAAAGAATTCATGAGTAAGGGGTCCAGGAAGGGGTTGCCTAGGTGACTGAGCCTGTGGGTGGAGGACTGAGTCAGGTTATTTCTTTTCTTGAGCTGAGGTTTTAAGGAGCTGCTATGTAAAGGTTAATTATGTGGCCTGCCAAGCATGGCCTAGGATATCATGCCAAGCCCTGAGACTTGGCTTCCAACAATATGTCACTTTGCACTTTAACAGCAAACAGTGAAGCCGAACTACTCTTTCCTATTTGTGAGCCCATGCCACAGTCTGTAAATACCTGAGTAACAGGGATATGATTTTTCACAATTGCCTTCCTCTATTTGTTCTGTTCAGAAGAACAGTTGTAGGATAAGGAAATGGATATATTTGAAAGCTTGTACATATTTTTAAGTTAAACCTTTCTTTTTTTGAACAACTTTTGTTTGGACACACTAATAGGAAGGGGCCCCACTGAGGCAGAACACAGTCTCTTGTGTCCCGTTTTCTTGGCCGTTGAACTCTTCCAAGGCAGCCATAGAGAAGCTGCCTCATATATCAGTGAACAGATGAACATGTAAACTATAAGCACACTTAAGAATCGAAAATGTAGCTAACTGAAATATAGTCTGCCACCAGGAATCTGTGTTCTAGAAGTCAAAAGACCTTAGTTTGAGAAATCGCCAACTTGTTATGGGAGAGAAATCACTTGATCTCTCTGAATGTAAGTGTCTTCTTTCAGAGTGTGGCTAAATTATACTAAAATATCTCTAAGGTTTCTTTCATCCTGAATTGAAGCATCAACCCATTTAGAAGGTGAAAGGGTATCTTATCTGGTGGGTGGAACATCTGTTTGTTGTTACAATTGAGTGTGTTAGATTGCATCAGTCAGAGAACACAGAGCATTTCTTCAGCCAACTCTGGATTACTTTTAATCAAGCATTGTCCACATAGTCTACATTCTCTATACACAGAATTTATACCTCTCAGGCTTGTTGGATAAATTATTCTTTTACATTTTGAGATTGTAGTATAATTACAACTTTACTCCCTTCCACTTTCTCCCTCTAAACCTTAACCAAAACTGAAAATAATGTCTTTTGCTGGTATGGAGGCATGTAGCAATGTGAATTTATCCAAACACAACTAGAAAACCTGTAACTATTCCCATGTGAGAGTAACCATGGTCTTCCTTTGTGCAGAGCGGCAGCACATGGCACCCACAAGAGAGATCTGAAGCCATGGATAATCGCCCTTCTTACAGTACTCGCCCTAATGATGGTGGCAGTGACCATTGGACTTCTGACTCATGTCTTAGTCTCTGGTAGGAAGAACTGGTAATTTCATTTTCCACATTGGACAGCATGATTTACATATTTGTAAATGAGATTTATACTTTCACTTGGGACTGTCTCCACTCAGAATATTTTAAAGTTTATTTTGTCTTTTCATCAACAAATTATTATATTATCACTATTAATGCAAATACTTTTCTGGGTGCTTATGATATAGCATTCAGCAAAGTATAAAAGATTCTTACTTGCTGAGGTACAATGCTTCTTTAGAATCTACACATAATAATGAAAATAATCATTTTCCGTGGGCTACTGGCAGTCAGACAAAGCAAATCTTATCATTTACTGCACATTAAAATGAAAGACTACAGTGTACATACTATCAAAATTGATTCTTTTACTTTTGGCCATTGTTCTCTGCCCAGCAGAATTTCTAGGGAAAAAAACACATCTAATGAAATAATGGATTTTAAAATTGCAGATAAATTATGACCAAATATTATCACTTACTCTTAAAAAATTACTCTTCCCCAAACTGTATTGAATGATTTTGTGCTTATTGTCTAATATGTTTATATTAATGTAAATAGTGCATTTTAAAGTTCTCTCTGTATTTCATCTTTCTTTGCTAAGTATAAGCCATTTATATTTTGACAAATCTCCACAATGGCACACTCAGATGATGAACATGTGCAATATAAACGAGTATCTCAAGTTGCTTATTTGAATGGCTTTATCTGGTATCATCTTTAAAGACTTGGTGAGGGGTGACACCTCTTTTAGAAGAGGAAAAGACTTTCTACTGTATTCTAAGTCTCATACTGTAACCCCACTAGTATTTTATATAAATGACAAAAGGTCCATCCATGAGGCAATTCATTTGATTTCACAAAAGCATTTTTAACTACGGAAGTACTCTCTGATATCATGCTCTGATCTCTTTTCTTTTCATCCCTGATAACCACACAATGAGCTGATCGGCCCCTCTATCACAAACTGTTTTCACTTACAATCTCTTGACAGTGTTTCTCCTTGTGATTTCCTTCACTGAACTTGGGTCTTTTGCCACAAATGAAAGTGTATGAGAATGCTCACTTACCTGTACTCATGGATGGTTTACACTTCAACAAAGCACATGAAAACATAGCAATGAATATCCAAGCTCTAGAGCCACACAGTAAGATTGAAACTTTTGAAAAGACCACCTACTATCTGTATAGCAGACATCAAAGTAGTTAATGCTGCTATGTCTTACTTTCCTCCTTTATAAGATGGAAGTGATGCCAATCTCAATAACTGGAATTATGATTAAATGATACATATGTGACACCATAACAGAACAGTTTTATACACATGGCAAAGATTCAACAATTATCAGCTACTACTGTTAATATAAAACTATGTTTATTTACTATATTTTTATTAAATTCAAGTAGAAAGAAGTTTGGTCATATATTCAAGACTTCATTTCATGTCCATTATAATTATGTCTTGGAAGTCTGTATAGATCATGTATTTTCTACTTTTCATTATCATCACAGGCCAGAAAATGGAATATTATCAAGGGACCTTTGCAATTTCAGATATTCAAGTCATTAGCAATTCAGAACAAAAGAGTTCAAATAATTTGAAGGACTTACAGGAGATGAATGAAAATTTGGTAAGTCAGATAAATTTATCTTATCATAGAATATGGCAAGAATTTTGTAGGCCACTTATTTTTATTCCTGAAATCATAATTTTTAGACCATCCCATCAGCAGCATCTCATAACTTTCTAGCCATCCACCTTAGATCTGTTTGTCCTGTATTTCATGGCATGTTTAAGTAGAGTAGGGGTGAGGGAACATGCCTGTCTAATAAATGGGGCCAGGGGCTCTAACTCAAATGTCTCCTTTAAAGACAAGTGATTGTATATTAAGGTATCTAGCCTATTGTTTCTCCAATTTCTCTAGGCTTCCCTGATAGAAATAATCGAACTACACTAGAACTAATTTTTGATGACCACAAAACACAGTTTTTAAAAATAGATATAGAAAGATAACAAAAACACCAATTTTGCCTTGTAAATGTGTTATTAAAGACAAGAAGCCAAGATTTACTATGTAATATATAAAATAAATGCTAACAGTTTAGTTAAAGCTGAAGTCCAGGAGGTTCTCCAAAAGGGAAATGCCTATTTGGATTTTTTATTCTCCAAAAGGGAAATGCCTATTTGGATTTTGTAAAGTTGTGTTATGAATGTTCACGAATCCTCACTCAAAAACATCTCAGGTTAACTTGTCTGAAGAAAGCACAGAAGTTACCTAAATGGGGATAAATAATTGTATTTGTGATATGTAAAATCATTAGTTTCAGACATAATGAAATATGATTGCATTTCATATTTTAGTCAAGACTTTTTTTCCTTAAGACATTTCCTTTCTCAAATCCATTGTCATTTTTTCATGTCACCATCTTCCTGAGTGCAACATCCTCAACGACATCATGGTTGCAGTAATATTATAGGCCATGTTTCTAATGTGTATTCTCAACGAAAACTAAGTTGTACATCTTTTGCTATCTTGCATCCTCAAATATCAACATATAATTTATGTTTACAGATTGATGTATGTTCCCCCATCCAGGCAAGTGAGTGAGTGTGTGTGTGTGTGTGTGTGTGTGTGTGTGTGTGTGTGTACGTTTGTCCTTCCCAATATCTCTCAATTCGTCTTACCTCAAGTGACTCCATAAAACTTTCTACTATGTGTATGTTTCTTGAAAAAATAAATTTTTGAATGATAAAAAAACATTATTACTTGTTGAGAAACTTAAAACTTGTCTTACTTAGCATACATTCAATATTGTTGATATTGTCTACATATACAACAATTAATAAACTCTACATTTACTGAATTAAATAGGATTACAACAGATCTTAACATAGATGAGCATCATATGAACTAACAGAGACCAAGCACATACACAGGGTCTTTACAGATCTGTACTAGATCCTCTGCATATATGTTATAACTTCCAGTTTAGCATTTTTATAGGATTCCTGAGTGTGCGAATGACTGGGTCTCTTATTCGTGTGTCTTCTCTTGGTTTCTTTTCCTTTTGTTGGTTTGTTTTGTTCAATTACAATGTGCTAGTTTTTGCTATATCTCATTTTATTATCTTTTATTATTTAAGTGAATTTAAAATAGAAAATTTGGATGTACAATTGTAACAAAAACTAAGTTTGAAAGTGTATTTTTAAAGGTCACTGATGTGTGAGTTTCTAGGCATGTAAGTACATCAAGGATAGAAATTGAGTTAAATAATGGCATATTATTCTCATGGGCATATTCATAGCCTTTTGTGGTTTTCACTATATATTTATGGGATAGGTATTTTAACCAACTAAGGTATGGAGCCACATGGCATGCTACATATTTAATGTCCTTTATCCTCATGACATACAGACATGTCCCTTCCCCTTCGCTGTTTCATGAGTATATTTTGTATTGTTTGGAATCATTCTTGCAAAACTACATTTTGTTTTCTGTGATCGTACTTTAAACTTACCTCCTTTTGTTATAAATCACTTTTGTTCCATCCTCTTTTTGTGCAGATCATTTTGAAAGAACTACCCACAATATTGATTGTATATTGAATTGATTGCTATTAGCTTGTGCATAATAATTCGGGTCTGCCATATATAACGTTTGTTTTTACCAGTCATTGTAAGAAATGCTTGTGGTTGATTGTTTTTTACATGTTGACTCTTTTGGAGGCCCACAATCCAGCTCCCAAATAAATACATAGAGGCTTATTCTTACTTACAAATGTCTGGCCTTAGCTTGGTTTATTTCTAGCCAGCTTTTCTTAACTTAAATTATCCTATCTACTTTTTTCCTCTGGTATTTTACCTTTCTCTACTTCTGTATATCTTTTCTTTCCTTCTTATTCTGTGTCTGGCTGTGTGGCTGGCTGGCTGGCCTTTCCTTTCTTGCTCCTTGATCTTTTTCTTCCAGATTTCTTCTACTTATTCTCTTTGCCTGCCAGCCCTGCCATCTTTTCTTCTGCCTTGCTATTGGCCATTCAACTTTTTATTAGACAAATCAAGGGTTTCAGACAGGCAAAGCAACACAACTTCACAGAGTTAAACAAATGCAACATAAAAGAACACAACACATCTTTGCAATCTCAAACAAATATTCCACAGTGTAAATAAATGTAAAACATCTTAAAATAATATTCTACAACAAATGCCATAAACATACTCTCTTATCCCATTATCAATATATACAAGTATTTCTGGAAGCAGAATTCCTGGCTCTTTAGGCATAATTTCACACACTGGTAAAGGTCTTACCTCATGCATGATTTAATTTGCACTTTCAAATAATAAAATAAACTTGTACCTCATTTCTTTTAGGGTTTTTCTTTTTGCAAATTCTCTGCACATATTTCTGCCTATGTTTTTATTTTTGTTGTTCACTTATATTTTTTAGAAGTTGCATATAGCTTCTAGATACTAAGTGTGCATTTTTTACAGATACCAACCCTTCTCCTTTTATTTATATTGATGATGAAATTAAATACATGCAATTATATAAATTTTCTTAGCCTTGTAACTGTTTTGTAAGTTCTTTGATAGTCCTTTCTTCTTTGTCAATCATAAAAACTTTTAACTGTATTTTCTTCTACTAACTTTATGATGTTATTTAGTATTGGGTCTTTAAGTCATCTGGTGAATACTTTTACCTGTGACGTTAGGTAGGAACCGATTTTTAAACCCTATCTAATAAACTAGTTTTCAAAATCAACCAACTAAGCAATCTAAGCTTTTCTTAGTATGTAAAATTGATACTAAGCTTATTGTTTTTCTTGGCACATTCGTCTTTCAGAAAAGGAAATATGATCTGTCTTCTCATATTGTTGCAATCTCTTGGGGGAGATGTGAGTAATGCACATGGAGCTGAACAGCAGGATGTGATATAATCAAGGATTAAATTGTACGTAAAGGACAATGAGTGTAGGAGAATATCAAAGGTAAAGGAGATCAAAGAGGATCCCCGTGGATGGAAAAAGCTTTGTATTATCTCACTCTTATTTAAATGATGCAGGTGCTCTCCCCATCCCCTACAAAGTTTGCCTTAGAGGACTTCCTGGAAGGGTTCATGTCTCATCCTGAGCCACTCCTCTTACTAGTTGCTAAATCCTAATGAGTAAAACCAGATTCTTCTGTCTCCTATGTGGACACTCATTAAGTTACCAGGAAAGATGAGTTGCAGATCTTGCTCTGCCTCATAGTTTTGGCTTTATTGATTTGAAGGGAAATGGAGATTTAAAAGTAAATTGAGTTCGTTTCTAAAATGCATCCCAGTTCCATGAAATGATGTGACAGAAGTAGCCATTCCCCTCACATCCTTTAAAGGGGACTGGTATCCTGACACAAGGAAAGATATTCTTTAAGTTATTATCAAGTTACCCCCAATGAGTCCAAGATAAGCTGAAAATATTTATAAACCAAAAAGGTATGTAGTACACTTAATCTACCAAACATCATAGGTAGCCTGGGCTACCCTGAAGACCACTCAGAGCATGTATACTAATTTAGAATTGGTCAAAATCATCTCACAATAGCCTATTTTTTATAATAAACTAATAGGTGGCTTAGGTCATTTACTGGATATTCATAAGCAAAAAATCACTAAAATACATCAAATTGGAGAGTGTTGCTGCCCAACACTGACAGCATATCACACCCATATTGCTAATCCAAGAAAAGATTAAAATTCAACATTCAAACTACAGTTTTTACCGAATGTCCAACTTTCAAACCACTGTAAAGTTAAACAAACAAACAAACAAACAAACAAAGTGGAACCACTGTAGGTGTCACAATCAATGAGACACTTAACTTCTATCCAAGTCTTATGAGGATCAATACAATCATTGACAGTGTTTTTGGAGAATATTTACAGAAATATAAAAAACATTTAAAACCATAGGCTCATTATACATATGAAAATAATAAACTTGTCATTCCATAATAATAGTAATAATATATAATATGAAATAACACCTTAAGCATCTTGTTCCACTTAATCCTCAATGACAACCCTTTGAAGGAGATAAATTACAACTTCAATCTTACAGGTGAGAACATGAAGATACAGAAAACCTAATTTGTTCAAGGACACACATTTTGATTATCTGGTTAAATGAGCCTTTGAAAGCAGACACTATGATTTGAGATTCCATGTCCTTAGTGAAAATCTGTCTCCTGGACAGTGGTCATTGATAAGAATCATCTATGTGAGTTTGCTTCCTGTATACCATCCCTCAAATTCCCAGAACCTCTTTGTTTCTTACAAATTATTTTCTATCAGTTACCCTGATCACATGAGATTGAACCAATGGCAACAATTGGAGTTTTCTTCTGTTTCCCCATCCCCAGTCATGAGAATCTGCTTCCCATGCCAAAGAAGTTCTAAATTTCGCCTTATTTATTCTTTTTTGCTTTGGTTTGTTTTGGTTTTCAAGACAGGGTTTCTCTTTGTAGCCCTGGCCGTCTTGGAACTCACTCAATAGACCAGACTGGTCTCAATCTCAGAGATCCTTCTGCCTGTGCCTTCTCAGTGCTGGTATTATAGACTTGTGTCACCATTGCCTAGCTTGACCTATTTAT